GCTGGCTTCTGCTGGGGGCCCGGCATGGGGCTGAGGCGCCCCGGGGGGTCAGCCCATGGCCTTGTGGAGCTGTTGGTGGGCAGCCCGGGCAGGAGCGTGGAGCAGGAGGGGCCTGGCCAGCCGCAGGTGTCGCACCCCTGTGCCCGAAGGATGGCTCCTCAGGCCCTCCCGTGTCTTGCAGAACTTCGAAGCAGCGGTGCGGGAGAATGTCACCATTAACGGGCAGCCCTGGGGGGAGACGTCGGATGAGTCCGAGCTGCAGAGCGGTATGTGTTGGTTTCCATTCATTTCCTGCTGCCTGCTTTTGTTCTGGGTTCTGCGTGTGGTGTTTTTAGTTGGGCGTTTTTTCCCCAGCTATCTGCGGTGGTAGGGATGCTCGTGGAGCAGGTGAAGCCCAACTCCAGCTCAGATGTGCCCGTGTAAAGATCTGAAGTGCTGCACTGCGGGAGCATGGCTCTTGTGGAGCAGTGTTTGTAGATTAAAAGAAGGGTAACCAAGGTGTGTAGGGACCTGTATCCAAGAGAAAAGGGAAGGAGAAAGTGCTTTATCAGAGGGACTGTTGCTTGCTTGATACTTGTGTTAAGATCATTATAGATCTTGAGGCTCAAGTTCCAGCTATCACTAGTATGGTGCCTAGCTAACTTAAAGGACCTGCTCTTGACTAGTAGAGAAAAGTAGCTTAGAGGCTCCCAAAGTATCTGATAATAACGTGGGAAAAATAAAGGTTTAAGTAAGTTCAATGGCAGCTGTCTTGCTGGCAAGTTTACAGCAAGCTTTCAGAAAGTCGGTATTTCAAAGCTTTTCATTCAAGAGGTTAGGAAAGAGCGTGTGCTATTTCATCATCTCTTATCAGAATAAAGGGAGTATACAACATTTAATGGAATAGGGTAAGGTGATCTATTTTTAAAGCTAGAACACAGCAACAGGATCCAAGCCTGGAGGCTTCCCACCCTCTCTGGGTGGTCAGTTTCTGTGTTTGACTGCCTTAATGGTGAAAACTTTCTTTCCTGTGGCCTGTTAGAATTTCCTGTACTGTAACATATCTGTTGCCTCTCGTCCTTTTGCTGCACACCTCTGAGAAGAGCCTGCTTCTGTCCAGTCTAGAAGCACACTTCAGGTAGCTGAGGGTAGCAGTTAAATTACCCCCTAGCCTTCTCTTTGCCAGGCTAAACAACACCAGCTCCCTCAGCTGCTCCTCATGTACTCCAGGTGACAACTCTCTTGGTGTTCTTCCATTGGAATTACTCCAGTACTCCATGGCACAGTCTCGCAGAACATCAAAGCTTGGATGTTATAGTCTGGGTAGGTGAGAATCCTGTCTGGATTCTTGAGCTCAGAGGGTAGTGTTTAATGGCTCATACTTTTACTTCAGGGCTAATTACAAGCAGAGCTCCTCAGATGTCTATTCTGGGACCTATTCTGTTAAATGTCTTTATCCGTTACCTGGAGGAGGAGATGGAAGGTGCCTTCACCTGGTTTGCTGCTGACATCAACCAGGGTGGCATGCAGTGAATATGCCCAAAGGCAGGCCCATTAAGGGGAACATAAATAGGCTGGACAAACACATCTATGGGAATCTCATTAAATTCAACAAGGACAAAAAGCCCTAAGTCTGTGAAGGAGTAACCCCCTGTAGGAGTATAGGATGAAAAGCACCTGGGGTCCTGGCAAGCTAACCCTGAGCCAGCCTAGTAGATTGTGTTAACAGGAGTGTAGTCAGTAGATCCAAGGAAGTGATTATTTGCCTTTACTTGGCACTTACTAGAGCACATCAGGAGTACTGTGCTTATTTTTGGACTCCCCAGTATGGGGAAATTGTTGATAAGCTGGAGTGAGTTCATCAGAGGATGGCAAGGGGGCTGGAGCACTTGCCCTGTGAGTTGAGACTGAAGGAATTGGGCTTGTTTAGCTCAGAAAATACAAGGCAGCCTTCCAGTACCTATGAGGAGGTTACTGAGAATATGGAGCCAGGCTATTTATTGGGGTGCACAGAGACAAGGGTCATAAATTAAAAGGGGAGGTTCTGACTTGATGTGAGGAAATAATAATTCACTATTAGGATAATGTGAGCATTGGAAAAGGTTGTCCAGAGAGCTCATGTAGTCTCCAGCACTGGAGGCTTCCAAGAACCAACTGGATGAAAGTCTTGAGCAACCTGGTTTGAGCTGGGTGTTGACCCTGCTGTGAGCAGGAGGCTTGAGTCAGGAGAGCCTCCTGAGGGCCCTTCCAGCCTGAGCGATTTTGTGTTATCAAGATTGGCCAAGATCTCTTATTAAGAGAGCCTAGTAGTATGTCTGTTGCTACTATTTAATATACAAATTAAGTAAGTGTTAGTTACATAGTATCTACAATACTTTTATAAGTACTGTCTTTTGAAAAATAGTAGTGGAGATTCTTGGTAGTCTGGTGTCCAAAGAAGATTTCTGTGCAATTCATCTGCTGGACTGTGTTAGTATGAGATGTTCTTTGCCTGTTTGCTTTTTAGAGTTGCATGAAGCCAAAAATACAGATACATTCAACTGGCTGTGGAGAAAGAGCTCCTTGAACTGTTTTTGGTCAGGAAGCTGTAGTTCTAGAATGCTATAACTCCAACTCCTTTGACTACAAAGTCAAAAATGCACTGCTCTCATGATGGACAATGCTGAACTCATTCAGACTCACTTAACTAATTCCTGTTTCTTCAAAAATTCATAAGATGATTTTCTTCACAGGAAAACTATGTCCAGTTGGATGTTGTTTTCAGTAAGTTAGCCTTTGTGTGTACAAGTCTAACTTTATGCCAGCCAAGATACTGTCATCATACAGCTGGCATAAAGCAGGTGTAAGAACTATATTGTGCTTTTTAATTTGACATAAATTTACTCATTTGCCTGTCTCTGATACAGTTTGAATCAACAAGTGATCTGGCATTTTGTGTCTTCGGTCTTTATGTTGACCAGTGGCTCAATTCTTTCCTCTCTGTACTTAAATGAGTTGATTGTGGTCCTAAAACAAACAAACAAAGCAAACCCCCAAACTCTTAAAACATTGGTTTTTGCTTTTCTGAGGTTTACAATCACCTGATTCTGCACAGATTGACCAAGAGAGGGTGCTCAAAATCCATTCTTTACAACTACATTGAAAACGTTGCTTGGATTGCAAGTTGTGCTCAAGATATTAGCAGGGGCAGTGAATTTAAATGCTAAGGAGTTTGCAAAATTAAATTAAAAAAATTAAAAAGCAAGACTATTGTCAGCATTTCAAATGTCCACCAGAGGAGAAAAATTGTAGGAATATGGAGATGGAAGAATATAAAAATATGCAGTACCTTTCAGTTACACACAGTTGGATATAAGATGAAGTGGTTAATTCTATTTACTTCTGTAACTCCTGATTTTTGTAGTTTGTAATGATGGCGTGTGACATCAGGACACTGCAGGCATTTACTAAATTTTGAAACCAGTTTTAAAATACTATCTTAAGCTTTTAAAATTGTTAAGTTTAATTGTAGTCTTGAAGAAGATGAGTACCTGTGATAGCATAGTAGTAGTCAAAACACTTAAGTCAAGAGCTGAAAATAGGTTGTAGGTATTTAGTCTAATCTTTCGATTGGAAAAGCAAGCTATGAAAGTTGGCTTCTACCAGATACAGTCTCTTGGGCCTCAGATGTTGAAAGCAGACATATTTGGGTTTTTTGCCAACTCCATATGACTAGTAATTACAGATGCCTTCAGGATCCAGAGGATTTCCAGGAACTGTGTTTCATTAAGGTGGCATTGTATATTGTCAGAAATTCATAGATGGATTTTAAAATTAAACTGCCTATCTGTGCTCTATATGATATAAAATCAGTTGGGCTTCAAATTACTGTTTGGACAGTTAGTGGTTTTTTAATGCTTGTAAATTACAGAGATGAACCATTTTTTTTGCTGCATCTTGCATTGCTTTTCTTCAATTGAGAAACAAATTATCTCAAAAGTTAACCATTTATTTGTGAGATTTCTTTATAGATTCAGAGTGCATAGGAGAAAAATACATTTTTGGTTTTTCCCCAGATTGTTCCCTGTCTCCCCCATTTTCACTGGCTCCCTTACTTCAAAAGTGACTGGTCAACATCAAGTTGTGCTCCAATTTCTATATCACCTTACAAGGAGATCCAAGACAGATATCTTTAACTTAACTGATAATCATGTACGATTTCTTATTTCAGATCTAAAGCTGAATTTTTCCTTATAGCTTTGTCTCAAATTAAAAAAAAAAAAAAAAAAAAAAAGGTAGGAGAATTCCTACAATAACTTTGTGTGTTTTTAATTTTTAGGTTCCAACATCAAAATTCTTGAAGATCAATTTGATGAACTAATAGTGGAGACAACAACAAAGCGTAAGCAGTGGCCTAGAAAGATACTGATGCATGCTGTCCAGACTATGAAAGCAGAGCAAGAGATGCTGGTGAGTAACCTAAGATTTTCAGAAAACCTTTCCATGTAGTAGCTGCTGACCACATGTAACTTGAAGAAATAAATTGTCAAATGTTGACCTTTGAGATCCTTCCCATAGCTGCTTTTGATTCTTTAGCATATAATGACATTGTTTCTTTGTATTACTTTGTTCTTCAGTAAAATGAGGGTTACTACCAAGTGGTGTGACTATGAGTGAATAGGGCCTGTGGCCGAAGTTCAGCAAGTTACTTAAGCAGATTGCTTCAACATGATGACTCAATTTACAAGCCAGTATACACCTATTTTTCTTGTCAAATCCGGGTTTCTGAAATCCTTTGCTGAAGGCTGGTTGAAGTACTAAATGTTATGATACATAGAGATGTTATCAGGTGCAGTATATGACTTTTAAAAAGATGTTTGTGTTTTCCTAAGCACTTCTGTTGAGCTAATGACTACATTGAGTAAGTACTTTCAATAGAGAAAGAAAAGGAAAAAAGTTATATGGATTAATGAATAGGTGCTGCAATTTCTGTGGTTTTTTGACACTGAATGTAAAGTAATTGCTGGCATTAAACAACTCAGACGTGTCCTTGGCTGCTAAACTTCTTTCCTGCAGTTGTGGTAGGCCTGCCTTTTGCTTACCTGCTGGTCAATTGGGAGTCAGTTTTCTAGGGGAAAGAAAATAAAGGACAAGAGGCAATGGGCACAAATGGAAATGCAGGAAATTCCATTTAACCATTTAAAAATAAAAAAAGACTGTGAGGGTAGTCAAATGCTGGAACACGTTGCCCAGCAAGACTGTGGAGTCTCCATTCTTGGAGATACTCAGAACCTGACTGGATGAGGCCCTGGGAAACCTGCTCTAATTGGCCCTGCTTTCAGTAGGGGGTTGGACTAGACGGTCTTTAGAGGCCTTTTCCAACTTCAGCTATTCTGTGATTCTATGCTAAAGATGGGGATTTTTTTTTTTAGAAAGTTGTTTAAGAGCCTGCATTGCATTTCTGAGGACGAAAATTGACAAAAGTAACTCTCCAGGTTAGCCAGGCATAGATGATTTACATCAAGTAAAAGTGCATGGGTATACATTTGTCTTAAATCTGAGATTTTTTTCTAACATATATTGCCTTTTGTGATCTCTCTGTTTTGTCAATATACCAGATATGTAAAACAAACAAAAAAATTAACCAGAATAAAATGTGCTATTGCAGATTTAACAAGACCATTTAAGCTTTGTGCAAAAGGAAAACTATGTTCTACCTGAGTTCCACAGTGGATTAGTTACTTAGAATGCCTCTCATGCTACCTTTTTTCTGTTTCTGACCTCTTCAAATTTTACGCCACCACAAGTAGATGATTATTTTAATTAGAAGGGTCTGCAAAATAGAGAAAGCTTTTAGTTTATCTCTGTAAATGAAGTGGCTTTTTTCCCCTCTTGGCTACTTCTGGAAAGGTGCTAGTGGTTTCTCTGCTTTTGGTTGAGGAATTTTTATGTTGTGTTTTGACCATAGCTACTCCTGTGATGCATGTTTTCCAAGGCATAAAGAGCAGCTGTGAAGATGCGGTAGTTAACCGCAGTTTATCTGGAGAGAAGCACTCGTTTAGTGGGGTGATCTCCCTATAATTGCCAAAGCAAGAGATCATCCTGTAGGTTTTCTGTCAGTACATTCTCTTATGTTTGAAGATAGTGCAAGTAATGTTTGTTCTCCTGCTTGGAGCTGTTACTGTAAACTTGATAAGAAGGATGTGTGAACTGTGAAAATTTACAGTGGTAAAACTGCAGGGAGGAATAATTAACTTTCCCTCTACTTGCCCCTCAACCTTCTTCAACCAAAGACAGCTTCTGAAGTGGAGAAAATTGCTAACTTGCAGATGATATAACTTACATTCCCATGTCTTTGCTTTGTTTCCTTCTTCCCTGGTAGTTACTTCTAATTCCACCTTTAACTAAATATTAGTTGTATTCATTATTATTAGTTAACTTCATGTCACAATTGACTGAGGTCAAGTCACAAGACTCACAGTAGGACTAAAGAGCCTCATCTGTGAAGGGGAGTGTTCTCATTCATGCATAAGTAATTGCAGGGCTAGAATGTAGTAGTTTAAATGGTTTTCTTTTTCTTAGCTTTTTGTCTTAATATACCCTTTATTGGAGTTTGCTCCTCTGTTTTTGTGAATGGCTCCTTAGAAGCCAGAGCAGCTCTTTTTTCTCAGTTGTGCAGCAGGTGGCAATGCTTCTTTTAAAATGCCTGGATTTCAGTTTAGTTCTCATGCTTTAATGATCAGAATTCTGCAAACTAAAGCAGATTTTGGAGTAACTGAATATCTAATACTTTCTTTATCTAAATAGTTGCACCACCATCTACTTGTATTAGTCTTTCTCCGTTGTTCTGACTGCTGTGTGTATATTAGATATCTATTAAACCAAGAGGGTATTTCAGAATTTTTCTTTTTTTGAATATGCAGAAACTCTACCAGCCTCTTGTAACACCAGAAGAGATAAGAGCCCAGCCTTCTCAAGGTAAAGATTTCATGGGGAGGGCAACTGTACTGAGGAAAACACTGCCTACCTTACTGACTAGCTGTAAATGTTTAAGAAGCTTTCTTTAAACTTGTTTAAAGTTATTGACTGTTTAAATAATTAACTAAAATAGCTAGAAGTTTGTCATAACTGAATGTGTTGCTGCATCAGTTTGTTGTACCCGTTTATCTTCTTCTAAGCACTGTCTGCTGTTAGGCACTGTACTTAAAGGCAAAAGCTGGCTGCTGTGCAGGTACTGGGTAGAGATTGTCACCGAACTACCCTCAATAGGTTTTCTTACTTCTTTCATTCACCGCTGGTGGAGGCCAGATGGGGAACTAGATGGATCACTGACATTATACTTTGGCTGTTCTTGTGTTCCTTTTACATGAATACTAGAAATGCTTCAGTCCCCCTTCCTAGTTGGTCAGTTTCTTCAGGGAATTGAAAGCAGTTGTGTAGTACTCAATGATGGCAGTGTTGACTCTCCTAACTTGCAAAGTAGGCATCAAATTTTATCCTGCCTGTGTCATTTGTAAGGGTTGATGACAGAACAAAACCGCAAACAATGTCATAAGTTTGCTTCACGCTTTTGAAAGATTCCTTATACAACCTCCTTGCAACAACATGGTGTATTTTGCAGTTAGTGATTGGGATGTGCTTTTTTGAGGCTGGCTGTAAGAAATTGAAAGTTTTGTCATGCCTGTTCTTAAGTATTGAAATATGACAGAATTTACCAATGCTGTTCTAACTTGAAAAGCATGGTTACAGAACCCTCACTGTGGATTACTGCACATGGTGTAAAGCTGGTGTAATAGTCAGTGGTGTTAAAGTTTGAGAAGCTGAGCTTAATCTTCCAGTTCTCACCCTGCTGATCTGACTTCACTCTAGGCATCATTTCCTCTTTGTAAACAGGAGACTTTGCTTCCAGAAATGCCAGCCTGTGCAGCAAAGCAGCTAACAGGAGCAGTGAAGAGTGTCACTTCATATCTGGGTTTCTTTTGGTTTCTAGTGCCCGGATCTGTGTTTTTCTGATGTGAATTAACTACTTCTTGTAAGTTAGTAACAGCTTGCACTGTGGTATTGCCTTCTTAGGTTTGGTAACAGCAAAGTCCTAGCCAAGATAGCATAGAGTTTGTGCTGAATTTTAGTATTATGTAGTCTTTGGGAAGTTTATGTATCCCAGTTTAGCAACTACAGTGGCCAGAAACCAAAAATGCTTAGATTACTCAATACCTTTCGTTTCCTTTTTTCATTTCCCTATGTTTTGGAAAGCTTTGAACACTGAGGAATATAATGCTGTCCATGTCAAGCTGAACTCCTGAAGGCAAATTTCATTTAACTGTGTGTCAGTCTTTCTGTATAACTAGAATAATCCAAGTAGTTATTTTTACTCTTACTTAACTCCTTCCTTGACATTTCATAGGGCCACCAGTCTTCTAATCCCAGTACTCTGAGAATGCTTCATTACGGACATATCCCTTTAGAGAATGTCCATTCATAGGCCTCTGTGGTGTGTTTAGAGAGGCTGCCGTTGGACTGTCTTTCCTTCCAAACTCTGCATGATGGTGCATTTCAGCATCCATGTTCGTACATTTGTGTGTTCCTAAACAGTGTCTGGCAGCACGTTGGGCATGCAGACACACAATTGAAGAAAACAACATCTCTTGCTGCTTACTCCGTTTCAGCAGGGGATCACTGTCACCCTGTGCTAGAATACAGTGATTGACTTAAATTATCTTCATTAGCACTAATGAGGTTGCTGTGTTTAACCCTGAAATGGTTTAGGGGTGTGTGCACCATCTAACCCCCCTGTATCCTACTACAGGCACTGGTGAAACCCTACAGAATAATAATAATAGAGGTGAGGCTGCTTAGTTCCCAGGAGCACACTTGTTTATCTGCTGATGTTAAGTTTTTGTTGATGGCATAGCATTGCAGACAGAATAATGGTAGAGAACATGCAAAACAGTTTTATAATAACTTGAAGAGTTTAACTCTTGAGTAAAGACTTATTATTGCTTGTAAATCAATTGTCAGAGATGTGTATTGTGTTGATGATCTTATGATAGTGCTACTCCAATCAAATATATGCCATTTCTCTTGAGTATTCTGCACCCGCTGCCTGCCTCAGTGTTCCTGAAAGCTTCTTTTTCTTCCTTTTCTTATTAAGCCGGCAGGATTTTTGCAGTTCATGTTGTTTACACTTGGTTCTTTTTTATTTTTGGTGTCAATTCTTGGTAAGTTGAGCCAGGAGAAAAATGTAGCCTTTATTGTAAAAGCTGACTTGTTGGAGTTGCAAGATTTTTTTTTTTTCCCTTGTTAAAATGGGTTCCCTTCATCTCATTTTCTCCACAGTTGTGTTTATTCTCCCTCTTTCGTGCATTTTTATCAAATGTAATATGAACTTGAAAGGTTTTAAAACAGAATTTTTTTTCTTTAGAACTGTTCTCTTCCTTTATATCAAATACTATCTTTGTGTTTCATGTTTCGTTTAAGCTGTAGGTTTCCTGTTGAAGAACTTTGTGGCTTGCTATAGTTGAGACTGCTAGACACTACTGCATTTTGAGTGATAAAGATTAATAACAGTAAGATCAAACATATAAGCTGTCATCCTCAATGCTATGATGGAAGGGATGTGTTGTAGGTTTGAGTTCTATACAGGGACTCAGCTCCTTTTCTGTCCAGTTTCTAAGAAGACGATAGCAAGTATGGGGAGGAGGGGGTTTCATTTCACAAGTTTATTTGGGCCTTATGTTTTTGTGTAGATGCTTACATCACGGATCTGAAGCAGGTGACAGAGATGGCATCCAAACAGATCAGTGGAGCAATGAAGGTGAGATCTCTGTGCACTCCAAGAGGGTATTATTTATTTTCTTGATCTGATAATATGTCACAAAACAGTAGTTCTAACTCATCTTGGGTATAGTTTTGTACAAAAAAGCCTGCGTGTGTACTTTTGAAGCAAGTACATCTTTAGGTTTGGATTGCTGACCTATCTGTAAAGCGTTCCCTCTCACATGGTAGTGATTACCCTGTGGCTATACGAAATATTTTTTACTGAGCTTTTAGGATCTGCAGCATCTGAAAAATAAAACGTCTTTTGAAGACCTGTAGAACTTCATGTAGCACGTGACGTTTATTACTTCGGTACCGGCTTAGACATGGACCGTGGTGTTCCCGTGATACTTACTCAGCTTAGAGATGTAATGAAGGGACATCTACGCTTGGCGTGCTCTCGGTGTGGCTTCTGAGTGCAGACCCTTGTCACTGTTAGGCTGGCAGCTCTGACTTCCCAGCTTTCACCTGCCATGCTAAGGATCATCTCTACAGACACGGAAGCTTTTGTGCCTGTCAGAATGTAACTAACGTATTTCTTTCATTGTAACCATTGCTTTTCCCATGTAACTTGAGATACTTGGGTTTGTTTTTGCAGGCTCTCCCCGTGCTACTAGAAAGAGCAGAAGGTTTTTCTCAAGTGTTAACTCGGCAACCAACCTTGGAACTCTGCAAGCTGCAGCAAGAGGTCTTTGCTGGTTGCAAGGCAAAGGAGGAAAATAATGTCCAAAATTTTTTATCACCAGGAGAAGTTACACCAACAGACGCTAATACCAGTAAAAATCCTTATGTTTTGCTGAAAAGAAAAAAAGCTGTAAGTTCACCAGAAAGAAGACGCTACCCACTTCGACGGAGAAAGATTACTCTCACCGCTTGAATTTCTCATTGAGTATTTGCAGATGGGAAATGCAGTTGTACTCTTGTTCAGGGTGATCAGTCTCTTTTTCTTAAACCTTCATCTCCCCTCTAATTCAGTGCTATACATGGGAGCTTCCTTGTTTGCTTAGTCTTTGATCCTTTAAAATATTTATATTTTTACTCTTACACTGATGGTATATGAAAGCCTATGCATAGCAGTAGCCTCTGATATCCAACAGGTATATTTGCCGATTAACTCTAATTTTTTGCTCTTTTTTTACAGTACTTAGCTTTAGTCCTCGTGCTTCTTGGAGTTGTGCACATGCATTATGTATGTGGGCAGTCTTTTAGTAAACGACTAAGTGCTCATTTACATTAAGCACATCTCTGAAGAGGTTGGAGAATGTCTAGATCTAATGAACCTTCATTTGTTACTGAGTCAGTGGGTATTTTTTAATAAATAAATGAAAAATAAATTCACACTGGAGCATATTGTAAAACCAGATTTGCTATGAGGTTACAGTTTTTAGAAAATCCACACACAAATGTGACACTGGTCCCTGCTATTCCACCTTTTCTGAATTTAGGTCAGCTAGGTTTATTTATAGTCATGTCTGTTTAAACTTGGACTTTTTTGTAATTGTATGTGTTTACTTGCAGTGTGCTCTTCTGAACAAGGATTCAACCATCCACATCTTTTACCATCTGATATTTCATTTCACGTAATCCAATTATGCGGTCTGGGGGTTTCCTCAACAATATTTCTGCACATTACAGGATCTTGACTTGGGTCATTTGTGCATTTCTGATGTTTGACCAAACTTTAAAGATCAGTATAGGCTACCAGTAACTGGTATTCAGTTGAGCTAGCTTCCCTTTTTTTTTTTTTTTTTTTTCTTTACACATTAGTACCTAGACGATTGCACAGTAGTACTAAATTGAGCATTGTGCCTTAACCATTCATAACTTTTTCTGGTTGATTGCATGTGCTTGCAGTAAATACTCATGTCTAACGTAACGTATTTATCACAGTAAATGGAGGGGTTTTTTAAGAAACTATATTAATGAAATGTGCTGTGGTAAGGAGATACGTCCAACATGTCTAAAAGACTGAAAATTTTCAAGAAAACATGGCAGATTTTAGCATAATTTGTTTTGTAAAGGTGAGCATCTATAGTGAAACTTTGCATATTTAATCATATGTAAATATTTGTTTCCTGTCACTCTTGTATATACAAATGTGTGTTTTTATACAAATTAAATTAAATCAGTTAAGAAGGATAAAAGTTTCAAATAATGTTGTCAGTTCCAATCCTGGAATAGATGGTGACTGAACAGTGAGTTTACTTCAGAAAACATCTGTGTTAAATTTTGGCTCAAGTAACTGAAGCAGTTGCATTTTACTGCCTTTGAACTCACAACTGTTATTAATCTCAGGGCTACAAAGCATCTAATGTAAGAGAGGACAGGATATGAGAGGGACTGGAGCGGCGAAGCTGTGGAACATGTGACTGGGACAGTTTTTCACACAGCAACTTGCTATTCCAACTGCTTTGAGTACGTGTGCTTGCTGCAGGGTTGAAAATCCCCACCTTGGCTTCCTTCAACGAGAACACAGATACTCTTTAATCTGAGTGTTCCTAGACTAAACTGAGCTCTGCAAGATTTAGCACGCCTACCATGGTAATATTTTAACATCTTCTATGTTAATAGGAAGATTCCCTGCTGTTCTCTCCAAATAATGATACATAAGTACAGAAAATAGTCAGGAATAAGCACATCTCTTTGAAGAGGCCTCATCTAAAATGGCCAAAGTAGGACAAATGCTGTAAAATATAAGGAGGAAGAGCACTGGGGATTAAGACTTAATAAGTGAATTGATTAATTCACCCTACAGTGCATGTTAGTGTTAGGAGATTGCAAGGTGGGCGGTCTGCATGGGACTTGAAGGAAGTGGGAATGGATGCCCTGAGCTAGGGCAGTCAGGCTTGTTCCATCCCCCTTGTTTCGGCTGCAGCTGGGTGGGAAAAGAAAAATGCATCTGAAAACACTGGCCAAATACACGCTGTAAGGAAGGATAAAGAAAACAGTAAAGATTCCAAGTGTAGCATATAAGCTATGAATTAACAAATCTCTGGTAACCATTTTTTGCCAAGCAGCAGTGGAAGGTGTAAATGCAAGTTCTGTGATGAGCTAAACTCAACAAATGAATGTTCATCTGTTTTTCAGATTATTATTAAAGTTAAAAGTTGCAAATTATTAAATTAAAATTAAATTATTGTTTTTCAGATGATTATTACAAGTTGGAAGTTATATTTGCAGCTAGCAGTGCCTGGGATCTATTCTTCCCACTGGCAGAAATATATAAAATCATTTTTTTCCCATTCCAGTAGTCTTGTCCTTCAGTTAACTTTTCATAGAAATCAGCAGTGTTGTGCAAGACAAGTGTCTAATCGGGCTTCTACTGAAATGTCACAACATCCAAACTTCTTATTTTTGACTTGGGACGAATTGGTATTGCATCAAGAAATGTCTGGTAGTTTTTCTTTATATAGCCTTTGAATTTTGTAAGACAGCTCAATGGTGATGGATGCTTGGGAACATTTCGAACCAGGGTTTACATTTCTTGGCTTTTTGGGGTGAGATGGAACATTTTGCAGTTTGTTAGTGTGTACTGTCAGCAGCGTGCTTATCGCTCATGAGGATGGGCCATCCCTACCCAAGAAAAACTTGCAAATGGGAGCAATATCCACGCACACCTTTGCTGGGTGTAGTTTTTGAATAAAGGGGATTATGAACAGCGTGCAGGGAAGCTTCTCTTCCAGGAGTCTTCAGGTGGACCCCGATGTCTGAAAGCTTGGGCGCGCTGGTGCTCTGAAACCCAGTTCTGGTGTGTGCTGTTCTTCAGAAGAGCTGCATTGTGCTCAGCTGCATTCAGCGATTCTGGTCTGTGTGTGCGTGGGCTGCTTCAGTGCAGACAAAAATCACTGGTAAACTGCCCTTATAAAATGTAAACTCAGCTGACTAGACTGCTTTCTGGGCTTGCTTTCTCTCCTGCATAGAACAGCTCTGCCTTTACTGCTGCGTTACCTGGAATTACTGTGTAGGCATTTCTACAGATGTACCAGAGATAGCTTTAATACTAAGCAGAAACTTGTTCCCACAAACAAATCTTGACTTTTTGTTTCCTTTGCCTCTTTGAACAAGAGCAGGCTGTACTCACGCTCAAGGGGACTGTCCCGTGACTTGTCCCATACTTGTGGGATGCTGGAAGCCTCACTCTACAGCTGCCAGGAGCTATTCAATAAAGTAGATATTTATTCAGTACTAATAAATTCTTGGTAAGCTGCTCAGGACCCGATGCTGTTAGATTGCCTGCTTGTGCAGTTGCCATGAAGGGCAGCATTGCTCCTGGAAAAGCACGAGAGCTTTGTGTGGGGACGGTTCAGAGTCTCTGTAGAAAGGGGGCTTTTTTTCCTGCAAATCACTCTGAAGGGCTCTCAAGGTATTTTTTTCTGTGTAGTTCATAGATTTTATTGCAAGAGAATATACCTGTTCTCTGAGCTTATGAAAATACTGGCTTCTAGTCCTGTTTATTTCAACTGTGTTTAACCTGCAAAGGCAGCAAGGAGCCCAGTGCTCTCTTTTTAAGCAACTGTCCCAACTAAGTCTCCACTCGTGCCTGGATTTTTACTCTATTTCTTTAACTGCATGATGTGTAGTTAATGCAAGATTGGACTGTTTCAAAGGAGTGGTCAGGAGCAATTCACCCTCTAATTTCTTACCTTCCAGGAGATGCTGGCTTGGACCCCCTCAGCTGGAGAATGGCACTGAACCCACCCCTCTTGCCGCCTCCTTGAGTACTGCATTGGTGAGCATCCTGGTGTCGGCACACTGATGATGGAGGAAGGGAGAAGCAAGACTGCTTTTAAAACTAGTGGGCTGTGAGATGCTCGGGAGACCCAGTGCAGTCTGGGGACAGAGGGCAGGTCAAGGCACTTTGGTGAGGGGACCCTTCTGGGTTGCGGATCCCTGTGGCTCTTTGGGGAAGGCTCATAGGTACTCAGTCCTCCAGGGTTGGAGGAGCACTAAGAAAGTGGAAAAGCAAAGATGTGGGTAGCCTGGCAGATGGAGACAAAGCTGCTTTGAAGTAGAACAGCTGGGGAGAAGACCTCCCACCAGGGAAGTCCTGCTCAGGTTTTTTGGTAATGCTGATGGTCCCAGAGCCTACCAGGACACCCGTGGCAGAGCGCAGACTTCGCTATGACTCTGGGGCTTCTGGGCAGCGCAGTTCTCTCACCTTCAGCACGAACTGTGAGCCAGCTCTTCCTGAAAGGATAGTCTATATTTATGCAGTTTGCAAACTTTGTAACCTCATCTTCATCTAAGCTGGGTGACTCAAGCTTCTGGGGAAACCAGAAAAATAGAGAAGTATCCCAGTTACTAAGATTACCGGGGCTTTATGACCGACTGCCCTGCAGGTTGGGTGCACTTAACCCTCCTTGCATCGCTGCGTGTGAGTTGAGCACAGCCAGGAGTGTACATTAGGTACCAAATACAGCTACGGATGTGCTGAGGTACCTGTCGGTGCAAATACCTTCCCTTCCTTCAGAGCAGAGGGCAAAGGTAGCGGTTCAATTAAAATGTTTGGAGGGATAAAAGAAACATTATTCTGTCTGTCAAAATATACTCGACAGAATAGTTGAACAGAGATTTTTGTCAGCGATTTTTGTGCTTTCAGCAGTGCCTGGCTTCGCCTTTACAAGAAACCCGTGGCATTTCCTTATTATTTAAAGGAACAGGGTGAGTAGCGAAAGTGAAAACAGCTTTATCCCAGTACTGGGGCCGCGTCCTCCCGGCAAAGCCGGCTGTCACCGCTCCGGCGCTCCCGCCGCCT